AAACCTTAAAGGACTAGGATGAAGCAGTAGAAGATGCTAAATATTTCAACTTTGCAGCTTCACTATCAAAGAATTGGATAAAACAAATTTCACAATGCTTAGAAGTTCATTGCCATTATTATATAAAGCTGCAGGAACCACCTCTCTGCATTGGCAGTTGACTTAATGATATTGTTGCTTCTTCCATCAATTTCAATGATCTTCAATGAATGCGATTGACATTCACTAGAACTTCTGGATGAATCATTTTTTCTTACTACGACCTTTTGTGGGAGTTCAAACTTCAGATGATTTCTTTCTTCGTGCTTTTTGTTAGCGGGCTGAACATCAGCTATGATAGATGGAAATTCCTCAGTACGGGAAGATTTAGTTTTCTTCCTCCTGTAATTTTTAAATTTGAAATAAGGACCAGAATAAATCAACTGATGGCAAATATTATAAGCGAGAAGAAGAAGTTGGAGTTAACCAGAGCAACTAAACTAGTTGTAATAGTTATCGTTTATAAGCATGGAGGAAGAAAGGGAGCTACACAACAAAATTACCACCTCAGTTATGTTAAAGAAGATGGAACATGAGAAGTATAAAGAATGTCAAAACATGGAAGTATTGCTAGAAAGCATAGTGTTAATTCCACAGCCAAGCTGACCAAAACCCGTCTTCTTCTTTTTTTCTCTCTCAGTGTTGCTTGAAAAAAACAAACAAATTTTACGTCTCCAACAAGCATCAGACTATCAGAGGTAATACATGCACTATACATACTTTGAGTTGGGAGTTATCTTCGAAGCTTTTCTTTTCTTGGACACTTTTTTTTCTACAGGCGCAGTTGTCACCGGCAAAGTCGCCTGAGGTTCATCTTCCTCTGGTTCACTCTCATATCCATCAGATTCATTTTCAAACTCCTTGTCAGCCAGAAGCTTCACTCCTTCGTCAACAAGTTTCTTCTCCCTGAATTCCTTGATTGCCTTACTTTTCTTCTTCTTCACTCTGGTCAACAAAGAAGGTTTTAGTTTCCAGCAAAAGAGTAAATGAGAACAGAGAATATACACAAACAAATGTCACTCACAAACCAACCTGACAATGTCCTTATCCTTCAAAATACAAACCGACTCAAATGGAGGTAACACAAAGCCATCCATCTACCATAAAAACAGAGTTAGGCAATGTGCCGCCATTATAAAGAATGAAAGCAATGAAAAGTAAAGCTAGAGAGTAGAGAGGGAAAACTCGTTCGTTCCCCAGCGAAAATGTTGATTTCTACAGGCAATTGAAACTGACAACAGTGAGCTTGTAAATATAATTCAATTAGACCAGTGTAATTAGCGTATTCAATGGCAGAAACTTCCACGATCTTCGTCCGCAGACAATCGTTCAGTAAGGTAACCTGGTCGGAGAAAGAAATCTTACAGAAAGTGCGAGACCGTTGGGGCATGCATCATGAAGATGGAAAACAGAAAGGATGTAGGAGGAGAGGTCGGAAATAGTTCGGAGATGAGGCTTTAGGACAATCCAGCTCCGTCTCAACCCCGTGAGCGACTCGGTCAGTAGGTCCTTGTCTTTGAACGAAACTCGCAGTCTTACAGCCTCCATCATGCACCAGAGAGAGAAAGAAAATGGCGGCGAAGAACGTAGAACTGGAAATCGGAACAATGGGTAGCAGGCTTCGAACTTGTTAAACCCCTTTCCGATGTCAGTCCATCGTCAGTCGAAAGGGGTTCAGCCGCGGCATGAATTCCCTCGCTCCCGCCCCACCAAGGGCGTCAAAATTTCCGGACCCGGCCCACGTTGCATAAGTTGGGTTGTTCGACTTCGTAAGGCGATTATTGTAAAATCAATTATAACTTCAATTTTAATTTTAATTTAAATAGATCGTGGAAAAGAAAGGTGCACCTTGTTGATATCAGTATCGACTTTCAACTCTTCTAAGTTTTTTTAGTCATTCTATCTTCATGATTGCTCTCAGACAGATGTAATTTTCGATTCATATATGTATTCCTCCTTTACTTTGGTGTAACATCTTGATTAATGGTATATTTAGTTCAAGTTTAGGATGACAACTAAGATCATGGTTACAATTCATTTTAAAAATGTCGAACAAGTCAAATATTTATTAGACGCGATCTTAAAATTTTAAATATTTGATATAGTTTCGTTACATTTACCAACTAATTTGTAATTTAACACAATAGACTAAATTATAACTTTAAATGTTAAAATTTCAATTTTATATCTAATATGTTCATGCAACATTAACTACCACTTTATCGGTAATAAGCTTATCTTAAGTTGGCAAATGACATTGTCTTCTTAGAAAATTCATATGACTCGGGAATTCGACCAATTCAGACTGTCCAACCCAAATCATAAAAGTTTTTTTTTTTTTTTTTTTCCGATTAGTGCAGGGTTGGGTTTATGAATGAAAAATCGAACGGAGGTTGACATTTTTTTAACTTCGCCAACCCGACCAAATCGAAAATGAAGTTACAATCCAAAAATTTCATTCATACTCAAGACGGTTTCAATCTGCAAAGGATAGAATTGATGGGTGATATCTTCGTGCCAGACTTCAATGTGTTCCAAATCCTCTTCTCATCTTCTTCCTTTCAACCCTTTAATCCCATTTGATCACTATCCAACTTTGTTCATCCAATCATCTTATTTGGAAAAGCCAACTTCTCCCTCTCATTGAGAGTCAAGACATGTTGGGCTATGTTGATGGCAGTATGGTTTCACCACCTCACTTTGAACTAGAAACCTTCTCAACACTCAGCATCAAATATTTGGCGTGGAAAGCAGCTGATCAACTGCTTTTCTGTCTCCTGCTCTCCTCTCTTACTGAGGAAGTCATTGCTGTCGTCGTTGGTCTCTCCACTGCACATGACGTTTGGCTCACGTTGGAGGCTACGTTTAGCCCTCATTCGAAAGTCGTGAACTATACTGGTTCCTTCGTGGACTCGGCACCGATTTTTCAACTTTTTCTACTAGTTAGATGGCTTTCACCCCTCTCCCCTGTTTTCGAGATTAAGTCTCTAAAGTGGAAAGTTTTGAGTTGTTCTAACGCTCCCTTGAGTCTTTTGACTCCATTCCTATGACATTCACAGCCACTAATCGTGGTCGCACCCATGAAAGTCATCTCACTTCCTTTAGTAACTTGCGAGGTCATTCTCATTCTCACAACAACAACTCTTTCAACCGAAGACGAACCCACCGAGTCAGGGTCGTCGACCACCTCGCTGCCAAATATGCCGCATAGAAGGTCATTATGCTGACCGTTGCAACCAACTGTACGTTCATCCTGATTATGCTCATGCTCACCTTGCTGAAGCTTTCAATACATCATGTTCTATTGCTGGACCAAAGGCTGTTGATCGGTTTTTGGACACTGAGGCTTCGACCCATTGACCGTCGATCCATCTATTTTTTATCAGTCTAAAAATTACACAAGGACTTTGTGATCGTAGAAAACGGTGCATCTCTACCCATTACCCACATCAATACTCTTTCTCATGTTCCAAATATTTATTTATTAGATGTCTTGGTTGTCCCTCATTCCACTAACAATCTTCTTTCAATTAGTAAATTACCGATTTTCTTATCTATGTTACATTTACTAATAATCTTCTTACTATCCAGAATCGTCAAATAGGAAGGGTGGTGGCAACCGGTAAAAGAGAGATGGAGGGCTACATGTGTTGGAGCATGGCAACTCTGTCTTTATTTATGTCCTTAGAAACTAATCTTTACGTGCCTCATACCATTTATGATATGCTTGCGTGGGTCATGTCAATTATCCTGTTATTTTTTTTAAATAAAAAAAAATAATATTGCCTTCTCCATCTAGTATCTGTCACCTTGCCAAAAGTCATCAATGACCTTATTCCCGCAATGAACGTTGGTCATCTCATGTGTTAGATCTTATTCATTGTGATATTTGGGGTCCTTTCCCCGTCAAATCTAATTCGATGATTATTCTCGAATCACTTGGCTTTACCCTTCAGAATTTAAATCTAATTTATTTGATATTTTTCTTCAATTTCAAAATTTTGTGGAAAATCAACATTCTTCTCGTATCAAGATTTTTCAAAGCGATGGAGGCGCCGAATTTACTAGCACTTGTTTCAAAACTCACTTACGTACTTCTGACATCCACCAATTCTCTTGTCCATATACACCTGCTCAAAATGGTCGTGCTGAGAGAAAACACCAACATGTGACTGAATATGGTTTGGGCCTTCTCTTTGACTCCCATCTTTCTTCTCGTTTCTGGGTTGATGCCTTCACCATTGTAGCTTATATTATCAACCGGTTACTTACTTCACTTCTTGGACGCAAGTCACCCTTTGAACTCCTCTACGGCTACTCTCCGCATTATGACAATTTTCTTATCCCTTTGGTTGTTGTGGTGTTTATCTTGCTTGCATGATTATGTGCCTAACAAACTTTCTCGCAACATTCCTTGCATTTTCTTAGGTCATAGTGCCCCTTATTTTGTTGTCATGATCCCACCACCACTAAGCTATACATCACCCGCCACGCTCAATTTGATGAAACTCATTTTCCTATTGTCCCTAGCTCTCAGACCTAACCTCGATCGAGCTTCATGTTTCAAATTTCATGTTGCTAGAGATTATACTTAGGTTCCTAGTCTCGACTACACTGACACTTTCAGTCCAGTTGTCAAATCTACTACTGTCCGTCCCGTATTGTGCTTTCTATTGTTGTGACAAATAAATGGCCTCTTCGACAACTTGATGTCAAGAATGCTTTTCTCAATTGCGAACATGTTCATATGGAACAACCTCTTGAGTATATTGATCATCGATTTCCAACTCATGTGTACCCACTAAAGTTGCCAATAAAAAGATGAAGAGATCCAAGATGAAATCTATTATTCCTTGGACCAATTAAATCTAATTCAGGGTTATATATGTGTATATATACATCTATATATGTATATATATAAAACTATTTATTAAAAAAAGGAAAAAGAAAAAACGATTTAATACCTGTCGGGATTGCGCTGCATCTGATCTACCCGGCAAAATCCGTTGGTTGCCATCCACTCTCCGACGAAGTTCCCAGTCTCGCTCTCTGCGTGTCGCGTCTTCTGCAAATTCCAATGCTACTCTCATGGCCTCCTCTCAAAAATCCTCTCTTTTACTCCAATTCTTCCTCCCCCATTCTCCCCTTCTTCTCCTACAATGCCCTAAAACTCCATAATAGTTTCATTCGCCTCAAACCACTCACCTTCACTTCTGCTTCCTCCTCCTTCAACACATCCTCCATCTCAAACCCTAGTCTCCTTCGCCACGTTACACCTACTGTATGCGACGACGACGACGACGATGGGTCTATGGTACCCTCAGCCTCTGCTGTGGCCTCTGTCATTCTCAGAGCTTCCACCTCTCCTGTGGAGTTTGTCCATAGGATCGAGAACAGACAGACTACTGGCTTGGTGCTGCCGAGCCCTGACTTTCAGAGGCTTTGCGTCGAGCAGTTGGACCTGTTTCGCCGGATTGTTGATCCTGAAGCCCTTCTCTCGGTTTGTGTTTTCCTTAAACATTTATTTCGCTTAATTTGTTTGAATTGAAGATAGAAATTGTGCTCCTCCTTTTGCTTAAACCTGTTGTGCATTTACATACGGATGGAAAATTAGGGCTGTTATGTGTTGGTAAGCTTATAGGAAATGAATTTCATTGTTTCTTCCTGTAGGTCTATGTAAGACCTGCTGGTAGCTTTGTAATGGACCGTCTTGAGCTGCGTCGTGTTGTATCTTTCCCAGGGGTTAATGCCACTGACGTTGTGATATTGGTCGGAAATTTTAGCGTTCCAACTGGTTTACGTGCTGCAGAGGCCACTTTTTCCAGTCAACAAGTATGGATTTTAGGTTAACTGACTGTTACGCTTTTGGTTCAGATGGTTAATCCTTGAAGTTTACAAGTCTGTCTAAATTATAGGTTGAAGTTATCCCAGAGCATAAGGCCATTGTCTTTCCAATGGTGAAACACCCTTTTGTTGTGGGGTTCTTGGTCGCCGAGCTTCCAAACCTCGAAATGGATATGCAGAGTGCCGATTGTGATCCATGGCCATACTCATCACCGCACGAAGCCGGTGCTCTATTAGCTGGCTTTGGAACAAATACACAGGGAATTCAAAGTACGACGAATGGATCGTTGAGAACGTACAAATTAAATGCAGATCGGCAAGCAAATGCCTTCCATATCTCCCGTTCTCTTGCTATGGCATATGTGATGGATCAGGTTGGTTGGATCATTTTTAATTCAGTACACTGCCATTGATGGTAAACTTTATTTACTCTTGCAGTCTGACAATCAATCCTGATTTTAAATGTTGTTCTTCTTAGCTTCCAATTTTATCACCTGATTTAAAAAACGAGGGTCTTTTTTCTTCTGCAGAAAGCAATGTTGCTCCAGCAATCATCATGGCAGAATAACTTGAGAATGACCAATCTGGTCGACCAAGTAAGGCGTGCTACATCTTACTTTATATTGTTTTCTCACATCTTGAGTTGCTTGGTAATGTTTCCCTCGCATATTATTCTCTCACAGATTCGTGGTTCTCTTTCTAGCATCCAAACTTTAAGTAAGATGTTATCTGTTCACATGAAGAAAAACGAGGTGAGAGTTTCATTTCTTGTAGATTCTATGTCACTTCTTTCTCTGTTTATATGTTTTTATCTTTGGATGACACCGCTTTGCAGATTGCATATGAGATTTTAGAAGACATACTGTTACAAGGGGATCATATGAGAGATACCCTTCAACAACTACAGGATGCTGTTTACTTGACTAAGGTACCTGATCTTTCTCTTGCTATTGTTGCTATTACCTTGTGCATGTTTTTGAAGTGTTGTATTTGTTTATGTTACTCTTATGATTATTGTTTTAATCACATACCATTTGGTCTGATTTGCCCATTGCATTACAGTTCTAATCACTTTATCAAAAAGATAAATACTAACAAAAAATTGCAATCCGAAGTTATAGGAGATTATCTCAGTGAAAAGGCTGGTCCATGATATTGTTGATGAAACGTAATTACTGGACTAATATTCTTTTGTGTTGTTGTTTAGGCAAATATAGTACACTATAATGAAGAAACACTAAAGAAAATGTACAAGTCCTCCAATCCTTTGTCTGAATCAGTGAAGAATCAGTCAGATAACTATCCAACAGATGCTTCCAGCAGTAGGACGCAAGGTGGGTTAGTTTCTTCTAAAAATATGATTGAGGACTTAGAGATGCCCATGCCACCTACAGTACTTGCTCCCGTTCAACGACAAGGAATAAGGTAACAGATCCCATGTCAAATGTCATAGTGTCGAGGAATTCCCTCTTTAAAATTTTGCTGTTTTAGATTTTAGGCATACGTTTAATTATCCATTTTCTTTGTTTACTTTTCTTTTTAAAACCCACCCTTATGTTATATGTTCAACAATGGGTTTGCTTGAGATCTGCTTGTTTTATCACTATTCATCCATTGCTCATTTCCTGCTGGTTTCATCCCTATCGTAAAATTCTGCGGTATGCAATACGATGCAGAAACATTTGATAATTTGGTGCTGATACATAAATTCTCTCATACACGGGACCTGCTCATCACTAGTAGATAGCACTTCTCAAATGAAATCAGTTTCCTGTCATTTTGAAATTATAATATCAAGTTTACTGATCTCACGATTTTCAAATATGATGTCAGGAAGGTCATGCAACGTTTCTGATGTTCTGAATGATTTGGTTGAGGCAGTGAAACCTCTAGCAAGTAAACAGCAACGTATAGTAGAACTAAGTGAACAGGTTTGTTCTATGCAAATTGCTGTGGAGGAGTCTTCCCTGCGTCAGGCTTTGAGTAATTTGATTGAAGGTGCACTATTACGTACACGTGTTGGAGGAAAGGTAGAAATTGTATCTACTACAGCACCAGCAGGTGGTGTGCTTATAGTCATAGATGACGATGGCCCCGACATGCACTATATGGTTAGTGATTGGCCATTTTTATTTAAATCATGCATGCCTCTATTATGATCTTTACCAAGACCTGACTTCTTTGGCGCAATTGACTTCAGACGCAGATGCATTCACTCACAGCATTTGGAGCAGATCTCTTATCCAAAGAAAGAGTGGAAGACAACATGACATGGAACTTTGTTGCAGGGCTGACCGTTGCTTGTGAGATTCTTGAGAGTTATGGGTGTGTGGTGCGTGTCATATCACCCAGGTGCTCGGACGCAGCTCTCGGATCTGGTGGAACTCGCTTGGAACTCTGGCTCCCTTCCACTCCAGGTACATCACTGCACAATCTCGACATTCCCACCTCAGGGGCATAGTGAGTAGATAGATAAATTGCCCATTTTAGATATATCTCTGAAACTAAGGATATATACAGAAAGTTGCGTGCCGTGTATGAGATTGAGATACGTGAGTTTTTGTATAGTGTACTGTAAGGCATTCTATTAAAAAGTTTGTGTATAGTATAGTATAATATAACTAGCGTCCAGAACTTGTTATAGCTCGCTTGATTCTCATCCTATTGGTAGATATGCGTGTCTGCATAAAAGTGTTTAGCATGACAGTCATGAATCAACTTCAAATTTGGAACTTTAATATTGAGCTTCAGAACAATAGTTTTCATTGAATCTTGTGTTTGTCGAATTCACCTTCTAAATGAATGTCAGTTATTCAAAATAGTACGTATAGTGATACTCTTATGGAATTGAGAACACTATTCAATTCCAGTAAAGTTTAATCAAAAGTCTAATAAAATACTAGATGTTAGGTGAATTCTACAATGGGAGTGCGTGTGGAAGTAACTAGAGCGATTGTCAACATTACCAAACAAGTAGACCCTTTCGATTCCTCTTTGATCTTAAATCTTCATAACTCAAGAAGAGTACATATTAATTATCACCAAGTATTGATTTTTATCCAAACATTGATGGTGGAGTTAATGTCGTCGCCTCCAACCTTCCATCGGACAACTTTTTAGTTTAGTTTAGTTTGGAATTAGATATTTAGTCGGATGTTTTTGTAATATATGCCATCTGAAGTCAACTTCATTCAAGAATTGATTGCTTGTTTCTAATTTTTCTAGTGTTTGGGCGTAATATTCAATTTAGGGTTGTCCACATCTGGTGCAATCAATGAGACCCATTGACCTCTTCCTTTAAAATCAAGATGTGAAAGTGGAAAGCCACCCCCACCCCCAACCCCACCCTTCATTTGATTTCTTGTTTCTTTTTATATTAATGACTAATGAGTCATAGGCACTTGCCGCAACGGCGAATCGGCCTCATTGTGCGCAATGCCCGACTTCGTGCTCCCTTCTGCCATGTGGACGATTACCAATTCTTCTTTAAACTATTTCCTCATTTTTCCTTCCATTTCATTTATTATTGCTTTATATAATTCCTTCAAATCTCCTCCACCTGCTGTAATCAAACCCATGGACTTCCTCCTCTCTTCTTTAAATTCTTCGCTCGGGTTTCTTATATATTATCGATTAAGAAGTTTCAAGTTATAATTCTCTCACCTTAGTAAACGATTGAAGGTCATAAGTGGAATAGCGTCTAACTTAGGATGTGGCTGGTTTGGATTGTTTTGGTACGCAATCAATTGGGTAAAGAATTAAATGTTATTATTATTTTCTTATATATGTTACCAATAAATCAAATATATTGTCAACAGGGGTGTCAATTAAAATATTTTAATAATTATTTAAATAACATGAATTTGCATCATCCTTAATTAAATTATTTAAAATTCAATACCACCGTCTCTATATTCTACATTTGTCCATATATTTATAAACATTTTTCTTTAATTTTCGAATACAATTAAATTTACAAAAACCGGCCACGAGGAAATGAAAATCGTGACGGCATGGTTAATGTCGGCGCTCCTTTTTCTTTTTTCATTTTATGCTTCAAAATAAAACTGTTTTATTTTTATTTTTATTTTTATTTATTAGGCAGATGACAATAGTACCCCTCTAAAACGTAAAATAAAATAAAAAATTAAAAAAATTAAAAAATAAAAAAAAAAACCTAAATCATTAAATGAACTGAAAAAGAAAAAAAATCAAAATTCCCAAAAACCCCTTTGATGTCCCGCTACTGTAACAACAGAACCTTAATAAGAAAACGCCACCAAGGTTTAACATGAAAATAAATACGAGAGCAAACAATCCAATTTGAAAGCGAGTCGTCTTTCTCTTCTACTGAAATTTTTCTCTGTTAATTGTTTTGGCCGTTTCCTTCACGCTGATTCTGTTCATCTGCAACTTCTTTTTCACGATCTCAGGAGAAGGATTTCAGGAACTGGTTTTCCTCGTGATTTCGCGGTAGCGGAACAGATCTTGTCGTATTTGATTCTTTATTTGGTAAGTTCTTATTGTTTTTTTTCTCAGTTTAATCCTGTGCTTTCTATTTGTTATTTTTGCTTCTTAACTTTCCTTTTTTCTAATTGATTCTCATTGAAAATAGAAAACGTAGACTGGTGAAAGTTTTCTAGAAATCAGTGTTCTATGAGCTGCAACTGATTGCTGTTTCAAGTTGTTTCTTCATTTTAAAATCTTGAAGTTACTTCAACTTGAAGGTATGGAATTCAACGACTTTTGTTTTTATTGTTAAATCGTTGACTCGCTTAATTAGAAAGAGTAGTTGGCTAGAGCTAATTATTGCTAGATTAGTTCCTGTACTGTTCGTATTATGTGGTAATATTGAATGGAGCTTATTTATGCTTAATCGCGGAGACTTTTGGGTATTCATGAATGTCCTAGAATTGGTTCTGAAGTTTTGAGCTAACTTCATGTTTGGGGTCTTTTTTTTAAAAAAGAAAAATCGTTTGTCCTTCAATCTTTAATTGGACACAAGGTTAATTTCTTTCTTTCGTTCATTCTTTTCCTTTTCCCAATTAATTGAGAAATGTACCGCAATGTCATTCTTTTTCTGTAAGTTGTGTGGATTGAGCATAGTTGTGTAAATCAGAAAAGCCGGTTTCTGGGTGCTTGCTTCTTCTCTCCCATTGATTGAATCAGAAAAGCCGGATTTTGGGTGCTTGATTCTTCTCTTCCATTGTTTTACTCAAAGGGAGCACATGTCTGCTTGCTTAATAGAGTCTCTTAGTATATGTTAGACAAGGAAGAAGCACATGGTTGCGTATGTTTTTTTGTTTAAGGTCTAGTTGCATGCGTTGAACATCAAAGAGTAGGAAAAAAAGAATGAAATCGTTTAATGGAGGGGAAGATCCTCGCTTTATAAAGTACGTTTGAAATTTTATAGCAGAACCTGATATACATTCCAATTTCAGCTTTTGATGTGTGAGTTTGAGCACTGCAACCATAATTCTTCTGATCTTAAGCGTACTTCGTTTACTTCCATATGACTTATGACTATCCATTACAGCCATAAGTTTGTCTTTCATTTCTGTATGATGTTCAATTTTGGATTTCTATTGAAGCATATTTGGACACATCTCTGTTCATGTGGTTTGAATTTCCCGTCCTCTTTCATGGAATGTCTTATTTGTATCTTGTACCCAACAGTAAGTGTATTTTTGTCTATCATGCAGACCCATTCTCGCTTTGTACATCTGAGAGTAAGATCCTATCTTTACAACTTGGAGGATTGTAGATAGCATGGGAATCCTTTATCGCAGGTTCATTGTTTCAAATGTCATAATCTAATTGGGAAAATCCAACAATTAATAATTTATTTTCGTGTTATTTCATATTTCTTGTGTACTGACTTGTTTTCTGTAAATATGCATTTACTTTGATGCAGTTCTGTGAATAGAAAGCCAAACGACAGCATGAGGCTTATTATAGTAACTTTTGTGGGAGTGTTTTTGGGCTTTTTTATAGGAATATCTTTCCCAACATTATCACTAACAAAGGTTGATGTTGAAGTCTTAATGCTCAGTCAAATTTTTTTTTTCCTTTGCATTAACATGGTTACTGTTTGATATCAATTTTTCGGTATAAACTGAAACCTATTTGTCCTTTTTTTTTTAATGATGTTCGCAGCTAGGTGTCCCCTCTGGACTTATCCCGAAAATTGACCGTATGTACAATGCTGACCTAAAATCAGCCTCTTCTATCCAAGCACCTAAAAGATTTCCATCGAGTGGTGGTAGAGACTTGAAAAATTCTCAAAATCTGAATGGTACCTCAGAGGTATTCTATTTCCTCAATACGTACTAACAAGTTTTGATTAATTATATATATGAGTGTGCGCGCACGCGTTTATTTGCTTCTGATGGCCTTCTAAATTTTAAATTTTCTTAATTATATCTTCGGCGTTAGATCCATAAATGTCATGAAAAGTAATCTCATTACTGGTTTGATCATTCCAATGAATTTTATCGACTTTGTTACCTGTTTTAAGTTGCAATATTTGTCCGTACGGATTTCACAGGCTGGCTGCAAGCCTACGACATGAAAATGGTAAATGCTCTAGAGGGTGAATTAGCTAGTGGTTAGGATGAAGATTGACAATTTCCTTTAAAGAAGCTAGGCCATAAAAATACTCCCTTCCCCTTGGGGCCTAACATATCAGTAGTAAAGCCCTTTTCTCATTGTCTGCCTTGCCTTCATCTATCTCATCATGTTAGAAATTGGAATTCTGCACGTCTTTTCCCTTTCTCTGGACAATAGTTTATTGGCTTAATTTTTCAAGGTTCTAGTGAAACATGGTAGGGGACTGATGACTAAAGTTAAGCAGGGATACTTGTGAACTAAATAGCTATGGCCAGACTTGCCTTTCGAAATCTTCCCCTTCCTTCCACATAAAGAGACATTTCATTCGTGACCGTATGGGAATATCACAGCTTTGGAGTTTGGACTCCTTTGTTTAAAATTCTTTTTCATGGTGGGAGCATGAGAATATTGACATTCTATGAATATGTTACTTCAATTTCTTGATCGTTACAAGCTTCTTTTTTAAAAAAAAAAGAAAATTGCATCACTAATATGGCTATTGCATGTATTTGGTCTTCGGTAACTTGCAAAGCAGGTGCTTGATTATTTTGCTTTATGTAGTTCATTTACCTCAGACTCATACACCTTACCATTCTCTAAATATGATGTGATGCAGATTTGGGTTCCATCAAATCCTAGAGGAGCCGAAAGACTAGCCCCAGGAATTGTTGCAGCCGAGTCAGACTTCTATCTACGTAGATTGTGGGGTAATCCCAGTGAGGTGTGTTTTGATTTTGCACAACACAGTTTTGAGAATGTCGTCATGTCAAATATATGAATTTACATTGAGTATTATGTTTTAGAAACACTTTCATTATTTGACATCTTGAAGTATCATATTTACTTGACATACAAGCTTGTTCTAGCTTGTTGTGCTTAATCAGATAAATATTTGCAGGACTTAACTAGTAAACCAAATTACCTTGTGACCTTCACTGTCGGTTATAACCAGAGAGACAACATTGATAAAGCAGTAAAAAAGGTCCCTCTCTTCCTCCAACTCTATGTCTACTACCACCCCTCTCTTTGTGCTCATACGAGACTGAATATGATTCCTCACAGTTTTCAGAGAACTTCACAATTCTTCTGTTTCACTATGATGGCCGAACAACTGAATGGGATGACTTCGAATGGTCGAAACGAGCAATTCACGTGAGTGCTCGAAAGCAGAGTAAATGGTACGTATTGTTCTATTACAGTGAATGTCGAGAAAGTTTTGTAGCATATTAAATGAAAATTTTCAAACATCCTATTCAGGTGGTATGCCAAACGATTCTTGCACCCTGACATCGTTGCATCTTATGACTACATCTTTATGTGGGATGAAGACCTGGGAGTTGAGAACTTTGATGCGGAAGAGTGAGTTATTTACAGAATAGCTTAAATGACACATTGCTATATTCAAATGTTCAAAATTCTTTGGTTATCCACTTTCAATACAGATATATAAAGTTGGTGAAGAAGCATGGCTTGGAAATTTCACAACCTGGTTTGGAACCTACCAGAGGGTTGACATGGCAGATGACAAAGAAAAGGGATGATCTTGAAGTTCATAAGTAGGACTCATGGAACAACTATGTTCACTTCCTTAAATACCTGCATTGTGAAAATCATTCAATTAAACCTGGAAGTCTTAACATTATTTGTTTTGGCTTATTTTGTGCAGAGATACTTCGGAAAGGGCAGGATGGTGCACGGAGCCGAATTTGCCTCCCTGTGCCGCGTAAGATAACCCGAAAAAGAAGAAATGTGAATTCTGCCCCATCTGTTTGTTTTCAGCTGATAGAGTAATAATACTGTCCTTGTTTCCTTCTACAGTTTTGTAGAGATCATGGCTCCAGTGTTCTCACGAGATGCTTGGCGCTGTGTCTGGTATATGATTCAAGTAAGAACTGAGTTCTTCATTCCTGTTGAAATTTAGCTTCACCATTTCAAATGGTTTTTCTAATTCCTGTGATAAATGGATTTGCAGAACGATTTAATCCATGGGTGGGGTCTTGATTTTTCCATTAGAAAATGTGTGGAGGTCAGTGGTAGCTTTCATGAACCCTTTCCTATATTTTGACATCATCATAATTACCATGCCCTGGTCTTTTTCTAACACAAACTCTTCCAATCAGCCTGCACATGAGAAGATCGGAGTTGTAGACGCTCAGTGGATTGTTCATCAAGGCCTTCCCTCGCTTGGGAGCCAGGTAAACCGAAAATCTTCTCCTTTGAAACTGAAGTTCAAATACTAATCCAGGTTCTTGTTCTAATTTAATTCCTCTGTGCAGGGAGAAACTCAAAATGGGAAAGCGCCATGGCAAGGGGTACTCTTTCTCTCTATCTCTCTTTCCCATCGTTCTTTCGCAGTTTGCAAATTGTTTGAGAGGAGATTATTTAGATGTTGTAGAACTCACATCACCCAAACAAATGAATGTGAACAGTGATTTGAATGTGAAAAGTGACGTGGATTTTGTATTGGCTATCAGGTGAGAGAAAGATGTCGGAAGGAGTGGACGATGTTTCAAAGTCGGTTAGCGAATGCGGAGAAAGCGTACTTCAAATCATTGGGGATTGATCCTTCAAATTCAGCCAAACATTAGGGGACCCATCAGACTCTCTTCCATTATTAGTACCCTTAATCCCTTACCATTTCTCACTGAGTTGTATAAATTCGTTAAATAATATTAATAATAATTAAGTTTAGAATTTTCGATAGGTAGATTTTTTTTTTATTACAATAGGGGTAGCAGTTGGAGTACGAGGAAGATTTGAACCTCCAAGAAAATAGCGCATGCCAACCGTTGATGCTCACTTTGGCCAATGCATAGAACTTATACTTTATTTTCCTATCTTTAATCTTTCTCAAAAAGCTTTATTTTATTTTTATGAGTTTACGTTTATGAAGAATTTTAGATGCACAATTGTCTCGAACATGTTAAGAGCTCTTTTGCTATTCTATTCATGTGTATGATCCTTTTGTTCTCTTTTGAATTATGATTTAGAATCGTCTAATTTCAAATTGTTGGACAAATGAGTGAACATGAGGCGATGGGTGAAAATTGGTACGTATGCAAGCTGTTGTCACAGGAGGATGGAAGATCCATAACCTGAAAGAAGAAGCTTTCCTGTAATGGCATATATTCATATTCAAGAGTATGCTACAAGTATCCCACAGCTGTTTCTCTTTTTTGTCTATTGCCAATCAAGAGTATATTAAGTACTTGTAACATGTCCTACACACACTTGCATGCAAGACAGCATTTTACAAAGTTCATCAAATTAGTTTTAACTTTATTATTTGCCAAATTCAATGATGAAATACAGTTCATTTATTATAAAAGTATAAAATCTTCTAAGTTCGTTAAATTCTTTTTATAATTTTTACTTACTATCACGATCACACTTTTCCAATCATGCGGTGTCGTGATCTTGACACGCTTACTCACTTTGTGACTTTGTCGGACCTTGGGTGAGGTTTATCTTTATCAACCAAATATTACTTGTGTGGAATCCAAATTTGTTCGGCCACACACGCTACCTACGTGTGCATGTTCAATCGTCTGCGACATGTCACATCTCATTGTCATCTCGGTTCCCTACAATACGACTCATGCATCGTGATCCCATCCCATGTCTCAAGATAGCTAGACTATCTTGGCTTATGACATACGTTCTAGACAACAGATGCATAATCCAACCTCTACCATATAGGGTGGGGCATAATACCAACACTAAAGTTATATTGAAGTTAACAAGACACTAAAGAAAAACAACTAAAGTTAAATTTATGTGAAATTTAATAAATTTTAGAAAAAATTTCCGACTGACATTTGATCTAAGTTTTAGATTCAATATCATGAATTAAAAGTTGAAATCTGATGTTATTTAGAAAATTGATCAAAATATTTTCAACTAATTGTATGGTTATACATAGAACACATCGTTTATTCAACAACGTATGTGTTCCATTTCTTCACCTGTCATCGTTCATAATTCATAACAAAAAAATTAAAAAAAAAGAAAAAATAATAAAAAAAAATCAATCAATAATTAACTTAAAAAAATCAATCAATAATTAACATAAAAAAATCAATCAATAATTAAGATAAACAAAAGTTTAGCTGAAGTTGTTAAAGCAGAAATGAGACAGTCAGCAAACTCTAGATTGATGCAGCTACTGAAATCAGGAAAGTTCCACTAAATCTGAAAACGTCATCATCTTCCTTCGCCACATGTCACCTCCAAATTGGTCAGTGCAATTTCCTTCTGACACGTGGCAGTACAGATGTTCCCTTCATTTTTCCCAATGAAAAGGTGTTGTTTTTTCTCATTTTTTTTACTTGACAGTCAATCAAAACAACACACGTATCACCTGTGATTTCTTCTTCTGCTACCTCAACCCCATGGTTAGTAAACAAACCATGGTTAAATATTGGTGGTTAAGAGACTTCAGTCAATGTATAAATGGTATATTCTCTCCTATCCCAACCATTTGGATAGATACATTTTGTGCTTCTTACGCCCAAAACCTATTTCTTCTTTTCTCTTCGTTTTCTTCTGCAACTCAAAAAGCCAAACCCTGCAACGGATTAGACTTCATTTGGGAGGTTTGTGGATTTTTGAAGATGGGTCTCTCGAATTTCCCCCCTTCAGCTGAAGGAGTGTTGCTGTTACCTGTTCTTGTGATGAACACTGTAATGTCGATGGCGTTTTTGAAGAACTTGGTGAGATCTGTGATACAAATGATGAGTGCGAGTGGGAATCCTTCGAGTTCTGAGGAAGAATTGGATTGGGAAAATGGAAGAGAAAGAAGAATCTCAATTACCCAGTTCAAATCTTTGGGTCAAAGCTTCAATAATGGCGGAACAGAGAAGGGCTCTGCTTCGAGGTGTGTCATGGCAGAGTGCTGTGTTTGTCTTTGTGGGTTTGAAGCTGATGAGGAAGTTAGTGAGTTGTCTTGCAAGCACTTTTTTCATAAAGCTTGTCTTTCTAAGTGGTTTGATAATAAGCACATTACTTGCCCTCTTTGTCGTTCCATTGAATAGTGTTCTTCATCGTCCACTGCTAAATTGCAGCTTTTTGAAGCATACTTTTGTTTTAGGGGTTTTTTTTTCTTCTTGTTCTTCACATTTCTTCTCTTATCGCTCTCCATATCATCACTTTCCCTTTATATTTGTATTGTATAATGGAAGATTAGGCATAGGAAAAGTGTTCTTCAGATAAATCCTGCACTGTTCTATTAAGCTCCTGCTCTAACTCAAAGCACCCAGAAGATCAATTTAGAATTCAAAAGGATTCATCAGTAAAAGCTAAGAACAGTTAAAGCAGGGAGCTTTAAATGGCTTGGAGCAGCTGGGCAGTCACAGAACTGGCAAATTCCAATGTGTGGGGCTCTGTTCTTCAGTGAAAAATCTAGTTCAGAAGTCGTTCAACACAAGAAATGGTGTGTGTGGTGTGCAAAATGATGACCAGAAATTCAGCTATGGGCGTGTTGGGACACGACCATCGTTTGTATCAAATGTTTGTTACTTTTCTCGTTCTATCACAAAGATTTGAAACTTGTCTGTACTCGTTATATTGAAGCTTGAAGAATGATCTGCAATGAACCAGATGTAACTCTTTTCTTGTATTTATTTGATATACCAAATATGGAGGCAATTTAATTCTTCCACCGGTTGTATGCTTCATTTCTTAACCTTATGCCAAAGATCCAATCTTTCTGGGACCCCAAAATTCTTGGCCACTCATTTCAGGCAGTAAGTTAAATGAAGATCTTGATACGAGTCTGTCCCGACCCCAGAAACCACGACCCAATGGGATCGAAATTAGGAGGGAGAGAGAGATTCAGACAGACCTGAAACCTTTGGCAAATTAGAAAGAAATAAGAACAGTTATATATGAAACCCACAAACTGAGAATTCTGAGTCAAAAAATAACTTTACCATTGGGTATGATAATGATACAGAACCAGGAGCTAACAGTTTCTTTCAGCCAGAGAGGTCAATAGCCATCTGGTTGTCCTCAGCCTAATGAGCTCCTCCTCCGCCTGTCTCATGAACATCAGATACGACATCGTTGTCGTTGCTGAACATTACATGAGATCTCTGGTTTTCTGGCGTTTTCGGGTCACGAGAATGGAGACAGAAATGTAACCTGCAAGAGAAAGGAGATATCCAAAAAGAATGGAGCCAAGTCGTCGAATTTCAAAAGGAGATATCCAACCTGCCAGAGAAAGAAAAATGGTAGCTTCTTTTTTGTGAATGAACAATTGAAATGCCTCAAAAAGCCTATAAAGAACAATTCCATTCCATAAGGATGAGATTTGAATCCAATACCTTCTTTTGGGAGAAGGGTCACTAAGGTTTTTTCTTATTTTAGCTGGAACACGAAAGAGACAGCCCATAAAAAGCAAGGGTAAAAGTTATTCAGTTGAGGAATATCCAGGACATTGAAAAGCCAGAATAAAGTTAAAAGCCTTCTTTCATGGGAAAATCAAGTTGAAGAACAAGACACTTCTCTCGTTTGTACAGCCCTCATATACCACAGAAACAAACCTTGCGAGGTCTCCGACATACCAAAAATATCTGACCAGATTTGTCTCAACCTCATGTCCCCGCTAGGTCGAAGAGTAAATTTGGTCACTTGGTTCCAACTATGACAGAAAGTGTCGACATCATAAAAGATAACATAATCTATCTACATTGATGGAAACCTACCCACCAGGCTGCCTAATAAATACCAATCTGATTTCAGTAACTGTTAATATAACAGGAACATAGCTTGAAAAGTCATTTCGAACAGGCTCCGAGTCGTAACAATAAGCAATTTATCAGAACGAGAACTAGAAACCTGGTAGATATGAATACATGATATAAATAGTAGTCGTGTATACAAAATTTCCTAGTAAGGGGAAGAAGGAAAGCACAAGAGCCTCAAATACAATGGCAATGCACGGGGGTTGTCTAATTTGCTGCTTTGGTGACAGCAAGTTCACCCACTCAATGAATAGATAAACTCCTTGAACCAAACCACTCAAAGAAAACAGATATCTACACATAACTTCCAACCCATGGAATTAGTTCAACTGTCCAAGCAGTTTCAACTTCCAAAAGAATTAACATTAGCTTATCTGGAGGCAAAGGTCGCCAAGGTTGGCCATGTACCGGTCAACGACTGTCGGGATGGGAAGGTCCACGGGGTGTCAGACAAGCTACTAACCTTCAGAGGGAGGTAGATATCAAAGCTAGAGATTAGCCACTCTCTCGTACGCAATTCCCAGGCAAAAGGAATTTGTAATGTTCTGCATTTTCCAGAAGATATGATGGCAAGTGAACTGCTGAGAAGGAATGAGGAACCGGTCCCATTTTTCCAATAATTTCTTTGAAAGTGTATTCCTCAGGAAGCATGTCAAATAAGTCAGCACCCTTGCAGATAATCTTCTGAATCCTTTTGGGATTCAGATAACTAGAGAACCTAACTCTGTCGTTATGGCTGTATGCTTTCATCTTAAAGATGAAGTCGCTTATACGACGGAAGCAGAAGCTACAGTGCCACCCAGAATCTGCCAACAGGTCATCCGATTGTCGATAATGAGCGTACCTTGTCTTACCAGATTTGTATCTATGGACTGCAGCCCTCCAGCTATTGTCGTCAACGTGGAACTCGAACGAGTACAAATAGTTCCTAAGCTGTAGATGAAGAACTTCCGGTATGTCATCACACCATCTTAAGAGATCAATGGTGTGCCCGCTTGGAATCTCATCGACATCAGACATTATCAACAAGTCATCATCAGAGATACCAGCAATTTTGAGAAGCTGATCAAGTGCCACTCGCTGAAATGCCTCCTCGACAAACGGATTTTCACCTTTCTTAAATCTCCCTCCGACAGTGCCATAAGTCAATCTCGGCTCCACAAATTTGAACTTATCTCGATTACGAGCAAAGTATAATGATTTTGGCTTCCCAGTAAATGTTGAATTTGCCTCAAGGAGAACAAACTGTGTAATGTAAGGGTAAAGTTCTTTCCATCGCAAGGTAAGCATCTCAATCTCATTACTGAACAGCACGGCATCGTAAACACGTCGAGGAAACTCACGGACTTTCCAACCATGGAGTTTGCAGAGATTCTCCATAGGTACATTCTCATCATAGTAGTGAGTGATCATATTGAATTCTTTTGGAGGGGATTCCCATAATGGCCGTAGGAAGTATGAGATCTTTTGTCCATGGAGGTAAATGATCAAGATGCACGTCGGCACCAACGCAAAAAGAATAAGAAAGGATTTCACATCATATCCACGAAAAATGCAGCGAAGCCTAGACATGCCCAGAACTCGATTAGCTTCCTGCATACACAAAAGAAGCCTGGTCGATATCTTGAACACGAACAGATAATGAAAGAGAAAAAGAAAAACAGAAGTCCACGGAGATTGGATCATGATCAAGACAACCTCAAAATCTCCAATACACATAAATTCCAATTAGATTCCCAAAGTGCATAAAAAATGAATTCGCGTTCTTCATGCAGAAAGAAAACATTTCTGAAAATCAGAAGTACCCGAAGTTTTGAGATGAGAAACGATCTCAAATGTATCCGGCATTCCACGTTTGATGTTCAAAGCAATCTTGATAACGAGAAAATTTCAAAAATTACACCAACAAATTCATTTCGGCTAGGGCAGATTTTATTCTTGAAGTTTCTGTTAAGTGGAATGCGCCGTTCGATATGATATTCAGAGTTCCCACACTCAGATCTCCAGGCTAAATAGAACATCCAACACAATAGCGAAGAAACAAAAATTGCAGCGCTATGGCGCTCGTTTTTTACACGAAAATTTCCCCCCTAAAGCCATCAAATACAGAGAGAACAAAGCCCTAACATCGAAAGACTCGATCAAGCACCGAAGAAACAAAAGATTTCTGAAAAACATAGATTTCTCCATCATCAGAAGAAAAAAAAAAAAAAAAAAAA